TCGAGCCCCGCGTCGGGCTCTGGGCTGATGGCTCGGAGCCTGGAGCCTGTTTCCGATTCTGTGTCTCCCTCTCTCTCTGCCCCTCCCCCATTCATGCTCTGTCTCTCTCTGTCCCCCCAAAAATAAATAAACGTTGAAAAAATAAATAAATAAATAAATAAATAAATAAATAAATAAATAAATAAAAGTGAGAGAGATAACCACCAGAGGAGGAAACATACATTGTTAACACCAAGTGACCAGAAAGAAAAAGAAGTTGCTGCCCACAGAGCCAAAGAAAGTATTAAAATGAACACAACAGTTACATTAGCAAGAGGGAGGACACTGCCCATTCTTATACACAATTGATAGGAATGTAAATTAACACAGACTGTGTTTTGGAGGATGATTTGTAATCCCGTGTAAAGACTTAAAATCTCAAACCGAAATAAAATAAATAAAATTAAATTCCCGAAGAACCTTTTTCCAGCATCTCATGCTCTTCGCAACAAGGTCACTTCTGTGATGGGTCCCGCAGGTAGGCCTGCCCGATGTGACGAGGCTGTTCGCCGAAGGACCATCCGTAGCAGAGATGAGCCAACAGCAGGCCAACTCGCTCGGGAGAAGCAGAGGCAGAGCAGTGCAGGGAGGGTCACGTGGGTGTGTTTCCCACAGGGAAGTCAAAATCGATTAAAACAGGGTTCAGTCCGGCTTCTTGTATCATCAGCATGTGTGAGCCATTCCAAACAACGTCAGGGAAAGGACGCCCCCTTTAAAAGGTGCAGCATTGGCCTTGCCTCCCCATCCGCGCACATCAGAGCAGGTGGCGGCCCAGAGGAGGCCTGGCAGACGCTTGTCATGGATGGCCCCCGAGAGAGACCCAGACGGAGCCTTGTGTACAGAAAGTGACAGTGTCTCACATCCTGTTTTTGTTAAACAAGTCCATTGCGGAATACCATGAATGGTATGAGTCTATTTGCATTATATACGTATGTGCTTCGTGTTTGTATGTATACCTGTTGTCCTGTATACGTGTGTACTCTCATACGCGTGTAAACATTTCTACACGAATAAAATCAGGATACACAAGAAATGGTTACTCTGCCCCCTGGATGATGGGCACAGTGAGCCAGGGGATATTATTGGAGATTTTTCTTTTTAAACAGGGAGTTTCTATGACTTTGTAATACATTTTTTTCTGACTCATTTCAGATTAAAACCATTTGCTTTTTAGCATTCATAATAATTTATACAGAAGTAGAGTTGTCTGTAGGGTATTATATAAACATAATCTATACTGAGATTTTTCTCTCCAAGCTAAATTGTCTTCCTGAATTTTACCTGAATACCACTTATGGATAAGTCAGGAAGCATTTTCAGGTTATTGACAGCCTGTGTTGTTGTTGGCTTTGCTGTGTTTCTTTTCTACAAACCTAATCGGATAATGTACATGTTTATTATAAGCTAACAAGGCTTAATTTTCAGGTATAGATTCTTTTATTCTCTTTTATTTACTTTATTCCCTTTTCACTTTTTTTATGAAGTTAAAGTGCACGTAATAGAAAACTCACTGTCGTGGCCATATTTACGTGTACAGTTCAGAGGTATTAAGCACATTCACACTGTTGCACAACACCATCCATCCCCTCACTCTTTTCCTGTGGTACCTCAGGAACCCTGTGCCTATTAAACACTGACTCCACATTCTCCTCTTCCCCCAGCCCCTGGCAACGGCCATCCTCCTTTCTGTCTCTATGATTTTGAGGACCCTGAGTACCTTATACAAGTGGAATCAGACAACGTTTGTCTTTTTGTGACTGGCTTATTTCAGTTCTCCAGGTTCATCCCATGTTATGGCACACTGCAGAATCCTTTTCTTTTTTCAGGCAAAGTAATATTCCTCTGTGTGTGTGTGTGTGTGTGTGTGTGTGTGTGTGTGTGTGTGTATCGCATTTGACTTATCTCAGTGGTAGACAGACAATTGGATTGCTTCCATGTTTTAGTTTTTATGAGTAATATTGTGAACACGCATGTACAAATATCTCTTAGAGACCCTGCTTTCAGTTCCTTTTGGTTGGTTGCATGTCAAGAGATGAAATTGTTGGATCATACGGTAATTTTATTCTTAATTTTTTGAGGAGCCATACTGTTTTCCACAGTGGCTGTGCCATTTTACATTCTCACCAACCGTGTGCAAGTGTTGCAGTTTTAACACATCCTCACCGACATCACTGTTTTCTGGTTTTTGTTTGCTTTTGTTTTTTGTTTTTTTTTGCATAGTGACTGTTTTAATGAGTGTGAGGTAGTTTCTCACTGCAGTTTTGATTTGCATTTGTTGCAAATGTTGAGGCAGATGTTGATGTTAAGTGTCTTTTCATGTGCTTATGAGTCATTTGTATGTCTTTGGAGAAATTTCAGTTCAAGTCCTTTGCCCATTTTTGAATTGGGTTGGGTTTTAGTTCTCTATATTCTGGATATTAATCCTTTATTCGCAAATATTGGCAAATATTTTCTCACATTCTGTGGGTTGCCTTTTTCCTCTGTGGATAGTGTCTCTTGATGTAGAGATTGTTAAAATTTTGGTGAAGCCCAGTTTGTCTATTTTTTGCTTTGTTGCCTTTGACTTTAGTTTCATATCTAAGAAACCATTGCCAGGGGTGCCTGGGTGGCTCAGTCAGTTGAGTGTCTGACTTCAGCTCAGGTCATGATCTCACAGTTCATGGGTTTGAGCCCCACATTGGGCTCTGTGCTGACAGCTTGCTCAGAGCCTGGAGCCTGCTTCGGATTCTGTGTCTCCCTCTCTCTCTGCCCCTCCCCTGCTCACGCTCTGTCTCTCTCTCAAAAAAAAAAAAAAAAGAAACCATTGCCAAATCCAGCATCACGAGGCTTTTATCTTATGTTTTCTCCTGAGAGTTTTGTTTTAGGTCTTACATTGGGGTCCTTGATCCATTTTGAGTTAATTTTTGTATATGGTGTTAGGTAACAGTCCACCTTCCTTCTTTTGTATGTGGATATCCTGTTTTCCCATCACGGTTTGTTGAAAAGACCGAATGGTCTTGGCCCCCTTGTTGAAAATCATTTGACTGTATATGCAAGGGTGTATGTTTGCCACTAGGCCAGTGCTACACTGTGTCCATTGTGTTACTTTTGTAGTAGGTTTAAAACCAGGAAGTGTGAGTTCTCTAGTTCTGTTCTTTTTCAAGATTGTTTTGGCTGTTTGGGAATCTCTTGGATTTCATGTGAATTTTAGGATGAGATTTTCCATTTCCACAAAAAAAGCCATTGGGATGTTGATAGGGATCCCACTGAATCTGTAGATTGCTTTGGGTAATACTGACACTTTCACAGTATTAAGTCTTATAATCCATGAACATGGGATGTATTTCCATTTATTTATGTCTTCCTTAATTTTTTTTAGCAGTATTTTGTAGTTTTCATTGTACAAGTCTTTCATTTCCTTGATTAATTCCTAAGTATTTTATTCTTTTTGATGCTGTTGTAAATGGAATTGTTTTATAATTTCCTCCTCACATTGTTTATCATGTATAGAAATGTAGCTGATTATTTTTGTATTGACTTTGTTTTCTTGCTACTTTGCTGAACTTATTACTTCTTATAAATAATACTACTAGTTAGTTCCTACATATAGGATTGTATCATCTGCAAAAAGATAATTACTCTGTCTAGAATTTCCAGTACTGCATTGAATAGAAGTGATGAAATCAGGCAACCTTGTCTTGTTCCTGATTTTAGAGGAAAAGCTTTCAGGTTTTTGCCATCGAGTATGATGTTTGCTGTGGGCTTTTTTATATTTGGCTTTTATTACATGGAGGTAGTTTTCTTGTATTCCTAATATGTTTAGTGTTTTTATCATGAAAGGGTGTTGAATTTTGTCAGCATCAATTTCTGCATCAATTGGGATGATCACGCAGGTTTTTCCCTCCATTTTATTGATGTGGCATATTACATGAATTGATTTTCATATGTTGAACTATCCTTGCATTCCAGGATTAATCCCACTGGGTTGTGGTATATGGTCCTTTTAGTTTACTGTTGAATCTGGTTTGCTGATATTTTGTTGAGGATTTTTGCATTGATGATCATCAAGGATATTGTCCTATAATTTTCTTTTCTTATAATGTCTTTGGCTTTAGTATCAAGGTAATGCTCTCTAACATAGAATGTTAGGTAGTACTCCTTTTTTAATTTTTGGAAAAAGTTTAGAGGATTGTTAGTTCTTTATTATTTATTTAAAAAAAATTTTAGGGGCACCTGGGTGGCGCAGTCGGTTAAGCGTCCGACCTCAGCCAGGTCACGATCTCGCGGTCTGTGAGTTCGAGCCCCGCGTCGGGCTCTGGGCTGATGGCTCAGAGCCTGGAGCCTGTTTCCGATTCTGTGTCTCCCTCTCTCTCTGCCCCTCCCCCGTTCATGCTCTCTCTCTGTCGCAAAAATAAACGTTGAAAAAAAAATTTTTTTTTAAATTTTAATGTTTATTCGTTTTTGAGAGAGCATGAGAGGGGGAGGGGTACGAAGAGACAGGGAGACACAGGATCTGAAGCAGACTCGAGGCTCTGAGCTGTCAGCACAGAGCCCAACGTGGGGCTCAAATGCACAACTACAAGATCATGAAGCTGGATGCTTAACCAACTGAGCCACCCAGGTGCCCCTGGTGTTAGTTCTTGAAAACTCATTAGTGAAACCATCTGGTCGAGGGTTCTTTATTAAAAGATTTGTGATTTCTGATTCAATCTCCTTACTGTTTATAGGTCTGTTCAGTTTATTGACTTCTTCATGATTTAGTCTGGTAACTTTTGTGTTTCTAGGAATATCCAGTTTTTTTGGTGTATAATTGTCCATAGTGCTGTCATAATTTTATTTCTGTAGAATTGGCAGGAATGCCCCCACTTTCGTATCTGATTTTAGTAATTTGAGTCTTCTCTCTTTTTTCCTTAGTCCACCTAGCTAAAGGCTATCAATTTTGTTGAGCTTTTCAAAGAACAGCTTTTGGTTTCATTGATTTTTTTTTCTGTTCTCTATTTCATTTATCTCTAATCTTTATTTCTTTCCTTCTGCTAGCTTTGGGATTAGTTTTTCTTTTTTCTAATTCCTTAAGTTGTAAATTTATGTTGCTGATTTGAGATCTCTCTCTCTTTAAAAAAAATTTTTTTTTTCAACGTTTATTTATTTTTGGGACAGAGAGAGACAGAGCATGAACGGGGGAGGGGCAGAGAGAGAGGGAGACACAGAATCGGAAACAGGTTCCAGGCTCTGAGCCATCAGCCCAGAGCCCGACGCGGGGCTCGAACTCACGGACCGCGAGATCGTGACCTGGCTGAAGTCGGACGCTTAACCGACTGCGCCACCCAGGCGCCCCACCTCTCTCTTTTAAATGTAAGCATTTATAGCTATAAATCTCCCCCTTAGCACCACTTTTGACATCTCACATAAGTTTTGGTATGTTGTGTTTTTATTTTCATTTATCTCTAGGTATTTTCTAATTTCCTTTGCTATTTCTTCTTTCTCCATTGATTGTTTAAAAGTTTGTTGTTTAATTTCCACAGTTTGTGATTGTTTTAGTTTTTCGTGTTTTCTCACGTCATCTTGTTGTGACCTGAGAAGATGCTCTGTATATCTGTCTTTTAAAATCTATTGTGATTTAATTTGTGGCCTAACATATGGTCCGTCCTGTAAAAATGTCCCATGTGCATGTAGGAAGAATGTGCTGCTGTTATTGGATGGAGTGTTCTGTATATAACTATTAGATCTTGTTGGTTTATGGTGTTAAGTCTTCTGTTTCCTTATTTGTCTTCTGTCTTGTTATATCCGTTATTGTAAGTAGGGTTTTGAAGTCTCTGTTATTGTAGAACTGTCTGTTTCTCCCTGCAGCTCTCTCCATTTCTGCTTCATATATTTTGATGGCCTGTCATTGTGTACATGTTTTTAATTGTTGTATCTTCTTGCTCTATTGAACCTTTGACGCATTGTGCCTTCCTTTCTCTTCTAATATCTTTGGATCTAAAGTCTATTTAGTCTCATATTAGCATAACCACTTCTGTTCCCTTTTGGTTACTACTTCCATGGACTATGTGTTTCTGTCCTTTTCTTTCAACCCATTCGTCTTTGAATCTCAAGTGAGTCTCTTATAGACAGCATTTAGTTGGATCATGTGTTTTTATCCATTCTGCCAATCTCTGTCTTCTGATTGGAGAGTTTAATCAATTTACATTTCAAGTACTGATCAGAAAGGACTTATTTCTGTCATTGTGCTATTTGTTTTCTCTGTCGCTTATAGACTTTTATTTCTTCATTTTCCTCATTTCTGTCTTTTTTGTGTTCAGTTGATTTTTTTTTTATAATGAAATGTGTATATTCCTTTGTAATTTTCTTTTGTGTATATCCTATAGTTATTTTCCTTATGGTTGCCATGAGGATTATATTTAACATCCTAAAATTATAACATTTTAATTTTAACTTACAGCAGTTTAACTTCAATAACATATGAAAAGTGTCCTGCACAGCTCTGTCCCTACTCCCTTCAGTGGTTGATGTCACAGAATTACATCTTTACACATGTGTGCCCAACAACATAAACCAACAATTCTTTCAACTGCATTAGTCTCCTCATTTATGTAGAAACTCAAAGATTTAGAGTTACAAACCAAAGTTACAGTAATATTAGATTTTACATTAATGATTTTTTTTTTAATTTAAATGTATTGGTTGGTCTCTTAGGTCCTGTAGAAAACAGAAAATACAGTCACAAACCATTGTTACAATAATACTAGCTTTTGTAACTTCTCATGCATTTACCTTAATTGAGATCTTTATGTCTTCATATGGTTTCAGTTACTGTCTAGTGTCGTTAAATTTCACCTTGATCATTTTTTTGCTGAGCAGGTCTAGTAGTCTTGAACTTCCTCAGCTTTTGTTTATCTGGGAATGTCTTGATTTCTCCCTCACTTTTAAAAGATAGTTTTGCCAGATATAGGACTCTTGATTGAGTATTTTTATTTTAGCACTTTGAATATATTGGCTGGCCTCCCAAAGTGTCTGATGAGAAATATGCAGAAAATCTTATTGAATATACCTTGTATGTGATGATTTGCTTTTGTGGCCGCTTTTAAGATTCATCCTTCATCTTTGGCTTTTGAAAGTCTGATTATTATTTGTTTTGGTTTGGGTGTCTGAATTCATTTTTCTTGGAGTTTTTCGAGCTTCTTGGATATTTATATTCCTGTCTTTCTTAAAATTTGGGAACTTATCAGCCATTATTTCTTCAAATGTTTTCTCTGCCCTTTTCTATCTTCTCCTACTGGGACTCCCATGATTTGTATGCTGGTCCTTTTTATGGTTTTCCGTTGGTCTCTAGGCTCTCTTTACTTCAATCCTTTTTCTTTTTGTTCATCAGCCTCTATAATTTTCATTCTCCTGTCTTCATGTCACTGTTTCTTTCTTCTGCCTGCTCAAATCTGCCTTTGCTTCCCTTCAGTGAATTCTTCAGTTCAGTTATTGTGCCTTTCAGCTTTAGAATTTCTTTTTGGTTTCATTTTAGGTTTTCCTGTCTCTTTATTGATATTTTAATTTTGTTCACACACTGTTTTCTTGACTTTCTTCACATCTTTCTTTAGCTTTTGAGCATCTTTAAGACAGTTGCTTTAAAGTCTTTGTCTAGTATATCTGCCATTCAGTCTTCTTCAGAGACAGATGAATTTGAATTATTTCTTTCCTCTGCGTAGGCCACACTTTCCTATTTCTTTGTATGCCTTGTGATACTTTTTTGTAGTTGAAAACTTCTCTAGTGTTTGCTGGCTTTTTAATTATAATTTTAGTATATTGTTTTTGTGGCTTTGCTTGTTGTAGTCCGTTTCTCTGCTGGGGATCAGCCTGAGGTGTAAACTTAATGTTTTCTCAGGTCTGTTTTGAGCCTTTCTGTGGACATGTGCAGATACTTAGCAATTTTCCTCATACGTGCAGTTGCTTCTGAATGTCCCACTCTTTGATATCTGGTTTTGAGGAGGGGAAAAGAGAAAAATGAAAGAGGAAAAAAAAGCGTGAGTCCTTTATATCTCCTGGAAGTCACCTGAGCTGGAGGGAGAGGCTTGCAACAGTGGGGGGGGGGGGGCCGGGACAACAGTGGCTGTCTGCCTGTCCGCACCTCTGGGATCAGAGGCAGCAATCAGCCCTCAGAGCACAGATCCCCGCCGTTTGGGGGACAGAGTCCTTTTTGCCCACCCTAACCCCACGAGCTGTGTGTATAAGCTGCTCCAGGAGCAGGTGTGCAGCTGTCTGCCCTGTGGCTGTGGATGGGGAATAGGTAGGTGCTGCTGTGCTGGGAGCTCAAAGTGACCAGTTTGCACTCCGGGCCTTCCCCTGGAAGCTGAATGCCTTCCACAGACTCCAGAGCTCCAAAATAGCTACATCAGACACATTCTACGAGCGCACTTGTGGTCTAGGTGGGAAGACCGATTGCTGGTGCTTCCTGCTTGGCATCGTCCCAGAATCCTCTCTTTTTTTTTTTTTTGTTTTGTTTTGTTTTTGTATTTATTTTTATTTTCAGGCAATCGAAACGTGAATTATGTTTAAAAAAATTTTTTTTCAATGTTTGTTTATTTTGGGGAGAGACGGAGAGAGCATGAGCAGCAGAGGGGCAGAGAGAGAGGGAGATACAGGATCCGAAGCAGGCTCCAGGCTCCGAGCTGTCAGCACAGAGTCCAACGCGGGGCTTGAAGTCACAAACCATGAGATCATGACCTGAACTGAAGTCAGACACCCAACTGACTGAGCCACCCCGGCGCCCCATGAATTATGTTTTTAAATCAGATTTTCTAGCTTAGAGTGCTGTGTGGTTAATTTTTATTTTTGTTTATTCGTGTTCTGTCTGTGGTTTGCACTTGACCTTTTGATTTTTTTCTTTAAGGTCAGTCTAGATTGATTCAGTATCATCACACATAAGCGACTCCTTTATTTTCCATAAAACTAAGTTCCATTTTCATATTTCTTTTGTTCACCCAGACAAGTGACATTTTGAGCTAGTGGTGCCAGCCCTCAAATAGGGACCTTCCAGTTAGCCACAGCCCTTAGGACGCTCCACCCGATGTGAACATCTGGGCTGTATGGCCTATAAGAGCTCTTTTCCTAAACCATTAAGTTCAAACGGTGGCTACTACATTAGGAGCCGCTCAGTTACTGCTGATGGAAAGCCAGTTCAAGCTAACGGACCCAGAAGACGGATTGGTGACTCATGTAACTGAGAAATCTCGGGGCCGAGTTTGGAAGCATTTGCCACCAGGGCTCTCGGAGTGCTGAGGTTGGCCAGGCCGAGGCCCGGCGCGTGTGGCTGCCACGGCAGGGTGCGTGTGTGGGTGTGCAGCGTGGCCAAGTGTCTCCCGTACGGAAGAGGGTCTCTGTGATCAGCAGACAGGGCGCAGGTGGGTGCCTCCTCCGTTCTCCCTCCTCATCAGCTTGGTGACACTTACTGAATGTTTGGTCTCTTCGCTTCGTGGGTTAACTCATCTGAAACCTCCATGCCACGTGAAGTCGGTGTGGTCCGATCCGTCTTCACAGGTGACCAAACTGAGACAGTGTAAAGGAAGTAATCCACTTAGGGTCACTTGGCAAGTGGCATAGGGTGACGCTTCAGACTCAGGCCTCCTGGTTCCAACCTGGTGCAATTAGCCAGTACCCTCTCCTCTTTCTAGATACAGAAATTCTTTTCCTCACCGCCCAAACTTTAAAAATACACCCCACCACACATAGTGAAACTCTCGCACGTTCTAGAAAAAGGCACTCCCGTTCTACCCAAAGTCACGTCGAGGCGGGGCCCCCAGAGGCGCGGCGGGCAGAGCAGGGAGTTTATGGCGGTGCCGTCCCCCGCTTCCCTTTGCTTCTCCGTCTCGTGTTCTTCTGGTTTGCCCGTGCTGCTCAGAAGCATTTTCTGGAGCCCCGGTCCTCCAGTTTGTGTGTTTTCCCAGACCCATCCGGTTCCTCTGGATCCTAAGGTCACTTCTGTTCTTTAGACGATCTTAGTTCTGTGTTCCGGTTCCCCACAGTACTGCCCGGGACGGCTGTGGAGTCCCTCCACTGGACGGGCGTAGCAATAGCCTTGGCGTTCCTGATTACGTCCCTTTTCTCACCCCCTGAGAAGGTATACGTTTTGTGTGCCCTTTTGAACATCAACTGTCCTAAAATTCAAATGTAAGGAGACTTCTTTTTTTTCTTTTTTGTTAAAAAGTATTTGTTTTGAGAGAGCGAGAGCACGAGTAGGGGGAGGGGCAGAGAGGAGAGAGAGAGAGAATCCGCACCGACAGCTTGGAGCCTGACACGGGGCTCGATCTCACGAACTGTGAGCCAAGATCGAGAGTCAGACGTTCAACCCCCTGAGCCACCCAGGCGCCCTCAAATACAAGGAGACTTCTGCCCTACCTTGAGTAAAAGGAGCCAAATTTACCTCCTGCCTGCAGGACTAAACACAGTCTGATCCAAA